AGCTTACAAATGCAACAAGGGCATGCCTACTTTCTTTCATGAGCTCCATAAAGAATTTGACAATTGGTATTGAAATAGTATCACAAAACCATACTATATTGAGATTTTTCACCCAACCCCTAAAGCCCAATTCACACCAAAAATATATTTTCACAGTGATGAGAAAACTGAAAACAATGCTATCCACATAGACCTCCTCACACTGGGTGGGAAAATTTGCTCTAGGATACAATTTCTTTTTTTTTAACAACATTTCATATCTTTGTGTCTTAATATCAGCTCAACTCACCAAGTGATTGATGTCAGATGGTTTGAGTTTGCATTAAAGCATATGATTGAATTAAGTTTACTTTCGCTCATGTCAGAAACTAAAGGCAGCTGCCTGCCCAGTAAGTGAATGACTGAACAGACAGCATTTTTGTACAAAGATAAATCTATAGAAAACTTGATTCATTCTCATGCAACTCAGTGCATACATTAACATCAATTTGGGAAAAATATCAAGTAATTGAGTGGAAAATTATGTGTGTGGTACTCTGTGGTGTGGCAGGATTTTGAACAGTTGGTGTGCATACACTCAAAACTGTGTGTTTTTATTTTCCACATACCGTATATTACTGTTGCTCCTCTCTGTCCCGCCTTTCTGAAACGAGTAGATTTTTACAAAGCCTATCATTCTGAAAAGCACGGTGTGCTCTGATTGGCCAGTTTGAGACTTTAGTCTTTGCAACTTTACAGATCTTATATATGCATGAACAGCTTGTAACACTCCAAAGACAAAGGAAAACTTGAAATCACATCAGATGACACCTTTAACAGCTTTGGCTAGGCCCCTTAATTTCAGTGAATACAAACCAATGCTTCATGCTACTGCATACAATCACATTCTAGAGAATTGTGCGATTCCAACTTCGTGTCAACAGTTTGGAGAAGGCCCACTTTTGCCTTATTATGACAGCACCCCTGTGCATAAAATGAGATCTCAATAAAAACTATTCACTATGGAAGAACTTGACTAGTAGTGCTGGGCGTTATGACCAAAAATTTATATCACGGTATTTTTCAAAATTATACCGGTTTCACGGTACATGACGGTATTTTTTTTTTTCATGTGACCGGGTGTTAACCATATTTTCTACTGATTGAGAGAGGAAATACTGCAATATATTGACTTAGAATACCCTATTTTACTGTCATGATGAGTGAATATTGTCAAAAAATACCACACTAAATAGTGAATAAACACGACCCCTTTAATACATGTTAACCAGGAGTCACTCTCATTTATAATTGCGGCATCTGATAAAATCAACATGCATCTACACTAAAGAGCGGCTATGCGGTTGTTTTGGCTATATTACTTTTTTGTCTCATGCAGCGCACTGCCTGCGCCTGAGTAACAAACAAAAAAAAACAACAAACAAAAAAGTGCATGTGATATTAACAGATGAATTACGCTCATATTTATAATTCCAAACAATCAGTAAGCGACAGGTGCTAGGAAACGCTGTTTTGTACTCATTTATTGACGAGTCTGCTGCGGTGCGGCCAACTGAATGCGCTGCTTCTCTGCCGCTCACTGCACAGAACAGACGCCGAGAGAGGGGACACTTCTCCAGGAAAGTTAGACCTCGCGTTCGCGGGACAACACTGGCGAAATCTTCCAACTGAACCATAGCTAAGGTTTATCCAAAAAAGTCGCTAGGTTTGTCAGTATGAATATTCTATGGGAAAAAGCCGCTAAAAGGGTCTGAAACTTGCTTGATCTAGTGCTAAAGTAGGCTCGTGTGTGTGAGACGCGGGAGCTGATGGCAGGGGACGGTGGATATTTGTGGAGGTCAATGTGGATATTGTGGATGAGTTCTTCTGTGTCATCACGTTCTATTAGTTCTACAGCTTCAGCTTCAGAACTTTCATGCTTAGTAACACATACAGCTGTGCCCTCACCACAGTGCAAAAGTGAAAAGGGACCCCTTTCAAACGGTGTCACGTTCCGAATGTTGTTTAAGCGACATACACCGATATTGCTGTATTTTAAAAATTCATACCATAACAAAAATAAACACTGGTATTCGGTATGAACCGGTATATACCGCCCAGCACTATTGACTAGTGTGCACAAATGCCAGACTTGAAGGCCACTGAACATCTTTGAAATTAACAGGAATGTGAACTGTGAACCAGGACCCATCGCCAACATCAGGGCCTGGCCTCACTGATTCTCATGCCTGAATGGGCGCAATCCCTGCAACCATGTTGCAACATCTGATATAAAGCTTTCCCAGAAAAGTGGAAATTGTTTGGGAGGACCTACACCCTAACACACTTTATTGTTTTAAGCAAGGACAACTTAACAGAAGCTTGTGTTGACTCTTTACCCACAGTATTTGTATCTTCTCTTATATAATATACAATTAACAATTGTGGAATCCAGTAAAAATATATATTTACTACTGAGCCTATCCAGTATATATGTTTTGCTGTGGCACTTGTATGTTCAGCAGCATCAGTCCTAAATATCAGTGTCAGTACATTGCCTTCGGAAGTAAATAATGCAGTCTGAAGATACTATGTTTTAGCTATTGGCCAGAAAGTAGAGGACAGTGTTTGGCCCTGTACTCAGATAACACCATCTTTGCCATCATCTTTAGTATGCAGGCAGAATTAGCGTTTTTTTCCCTTCTTTTTCTTCAGTAGGAAGAACTGAAATCCTTGTGGCAGTTCCAAGGCAACATCATGTCAAAGTCACAGCAACACATTTTACAAGCCCTGATCATTTCATGCCCAAAACACATGCCACTGATTTTCTTGAGATGTGGTTCAGTGGTTAAAGATGTCGGCCGGTAATTTCGAGTTTTACATATCACTGACTTAATTAGCTAGACTCTCTGAGACTATAACAAAATGTAAAGTACACTTCCTTTAAAGAGTATGGCCTATTTCAGACACAATGTGTTCTAATAGCTTCCTTTGTCTGTTAAAGTATGACTTGAGTGTGTGTGTAAGTTAAATGGGTCAAACCATAGCAAAAGCAGTGAGCAGAGAATGAGTGAAATAAGTGATTCTCCACTACTGTGGCTCAGAGGGAGTGTGTGTGTGTGTGACGTGTGAGTATACATTACACATTGCCAAGCTCTAATGGCTCAGGCAGTTGTATTGCTGAACTGGATGGCATGTGGAAGTCTGGTGAAACATGAGACAGCGGTCTTTCAATAGAATGTCTAAGTAAAGAGCTTGTCAGCGTTTAGCATCTCTTCAACATTAAAGTGATGTAACACTGGCTTCTGGTTGGCCAACATCAAGTTGAATTTCTCAGACATATTCTTTGGGCCACACACAAGATAATCATATTTTGGTCCTGCAGTGACAGTGATCATGGACCCACCCTGGAAATGGCCTCAGGTAGATGATGTGTATGATCCCACACTGCAGGGTGATATTTGTTTGGTAAATGTTCATTTAGTCAAGAGCAGCTGTTATACAAGAAGCAGAAATGATTTGACAAAGCTCTCAGATTAACAAATCGCTCTGGTTTTCTCAAAAGCAAGAATGCTACAGTAAAAACTCACCATGTTAACAAGAATATTTTCACAATTTGATCACAACCTGATCTACCCAACTCAGACTCATTGGAAAAACATGAATGTGGCGAAATGTCATCAAAATGTCACTATATTGCTTCTTGTAAGTTTTGCGACATTTTCAAAGTGAAACGTCCAGTAAGATAAATGTTCATCTGGCACCACTTTAAGTTAGTTGTAGTACATATTGCAGCAGTTTGGAAATTAAATGTACAGTGAGTGTCGCTAAAAGGTTAATGGTCTATCACTTTTGAAAATAGCGTACTACCTACACTAAAACAGACAGTGTTAACAAAAGCATACATAATATAAAAAACACTGCTGTTAAGATAAACACACAATGCTGAGGCAACGTGTCATTTTAGCTCGTTTCTACAAGTCTTTGAGTTGTTTTATCATGACTTGTGTTTCATAGGACACATACTGTATATGAGCACTATGCATCACAAGTGCACTGCGGTACCAGGTGAGCTACTGAGTAAGTTTACTATGCCAGAAAAGCTGCACATATGAGGGTGGCTATGTAAGGCAAACACCAAAAGCTATAGCTTGCAAATTATGCACTATGATAAAAGTGTTTTGAGTGTATAATATAGTATTTCTCAAACAACCGTAAGTTGTTTGAGAAATACAAAAATAAGTCTTCATTAATCAGCAAAAATAAGTCTTCATTAATCATAATCTACCCATGTAATCATAATTTGTTTAAACTGTTTTATTTTTAAAAATAAAAGTTATTGGTGTTTTACTGCTAAGATTTATTTCAGATGGAAACTGCAGAGAATTGTATGCATACACTAGGTACGTTTTTGGAGTTTTGCAAAAGAGATGCAAAAATGTGTCCAATGAGCCTATGTTGGATTAATCACACTGCTGTGTTAACCATTCCCTAAAACATAAAGACAAATCTGATTATTTAGAAAATTTGGAGAGTTTTGTAATGTAATCACCTATCCATCACAATGCATCCTGGACAATGTCAAAGGACTGTTCATTCACCTCTCAATCACACACTCCACAAAAACCATATTATAAACTTGGATAAGGCCAACATATTCATGCAAAATGCAAAGAATGTCTCTGGTTTGTTGGATATCAACATTCAGTGATACAGAGCTCATTAAATATTCATTCACTTTATACAGAAACAATCCTTTGCTGTGTTCTTCACTCCAGGTAACACGGAAAACCTGTTATCTGGAGTGAAGAACAACCATGTAACTCGGTTATGTTCTGAAAAGTATATTCAAGACCAACTTGACTGTACAGTCAGGAATATATACTATATAAAAAAAATTTAAATTTTATGCACGAAAAGCCCCAATGTTAAAAACTACTAGAAACTTCATGTTTGTGGGTAGATTACAGCTTAGGTATGTTTGGGACAAAAGTATGCCAAAAAAGGAAAGACAGCCATACCCATGGAGTCCAACACAAACTGGTCCTGCGTGACTGCTAGAGGAGGCTGAACACACACCGTCACCTTTGGGCTCTGCACCGCAGAACGACTCTTTATTTTAACCTGAGAATAAAGCACACATTCAGGACACACTGTATCACCTCAGCATTAAAAAGCACTACAGGCTTTTATTACACAAGAAAACCTAATATACTTAATAAACATCAGCGTTAAATGAGCTGCACTCACCTTGACTGTGACAGAGGGGACAGGCATGCCATTCATCTCAGGTATGACAGCGCACTGTGAGAGAGATCATCACAACACAATCACACACTGTGTGCTCATGAGATGGGCAAAGTGTGAGCGTGCGCTACATTTTGAGACAAAACAGTATCCACAAGTACACAAAAAGGTAATAATAACTGATAAAGCATTTTTTTAGAGTTAGTCTGTAGTCATTAAAGTGAATTTTATATATAAGAATTTTGTATTTTAGTGATATGGCCTCATTTAATTAACTAAAAGTATGTATGTATGTATGTATGTATGTGTGTGTGTGTGTGTGTGTGCGCGTTTTTGTGATTTATGAGGACACAAATTTGTATAATGACATGGGTATTACATAGGAATTACAACGAGAAGGTGATTTATGAGGACATTTTGAGTGTCCCCATATTTCAAAAGGCTTATAAATCATTCAGAATTAGTTTTTTTGAAAATCTAAAAATGCAGAAAGTTTCCTGTAAGGGGTAGGTTTAGGTGTAGAGTTGGTGTAGGGCGATAGAAAATACGGTTTGTACAGTATAAAAACCATTACGCCTAATAATGTCCCCACAATTCACAAAAACAAACCTGTGTGTGTGTGTGTGTGTGTGTGTGTGAGAGAGAGAGAGTGTGTGTGTGTGTGTGTAAACATAACTATAGTATAAGTATATAATAAACTAAACGTAACTATCTTCAAAACTAAGCTGAATATGACAAAAGCTTTCTTTAGGGACATTCAGTGAAGTTTTCTTTTAGTCGTAGCTTCATAAAAAATTATTTACATAAGTCTACAGTCTCATCTAGCTAGCTAAACCTGTATGAATGTGTGTGAAAATGATTCAGAAATAATAATAATTGATGTAATGTAAAAAATAATGTAAGTTTTAATTTAGAGATGAGGTAGGGCTTGTTGTCGCCTGCAGTCATTATAATGAGCTTAATATAAAAACAACAGAAATATATTATATGTTTTCACGTTGATGAAATAAACATGTGTGTTAGTATTTGTACCGAGACTTCATCAAGGTTAGATGAGACTATGGCAGTCAGAGTAAGCTCTTCCTCAGTCTCTGCCCTCGGGAGAATGTCTGGAGAAAGATCACACCCAAACATTTTTGTGCAACAGAACTTTTTGCTGTAGAACAAGACTTGATTTTATTAACGGATTTTCATAAATAGAAGTCACATTTTTTTAAATCTGAAATGTGCTGCAACTTATATTGCGATGTGACATATAATGGAATTAGCGTCAACCATGCAAAGCTCACACAAATAGGCATGCACACACAGCATATAATTTCTAGTATTAAAATTTGATCATCAAAATCTTTTTTTCCCAGCCTCTCAGACATAGTTACATTAGCAGTAAAGATACACTGATTGGAAAACATTACTGCATTTAGATAAAATATTACGTTAAATGGAAGGAGCTGTTTAAAAGCCCAAAAGCTCGCTTAATTTAAAAACAGAGCAGGTACTGGTCTGGTATTCAATTTGGCAATTGGCATAAATCTGGGCTTTGCAAGAAGCTTTTAACTGTTAACATCTATTAACATACACAGTGTGCATTTGTTTTCTAAACTCTTTGGGTCATACCTTGGGTTTTGGTAGCCTCGCGAATAACCTTTTGCAGCATTTTCATCTCTGTGTCGACCTCATCATAGTTGACCTCTCGGGCGTCCACTTTAGGTGCAGTGAAGAAGGAGGGGTCAGTGCCCATGTAAGAGCACTGGAGATGCCCGTCAGAGCTCAGAGTCGCCACCAACCCCCTCAGTTCCCTGAAAAGAACACAGAACACATTTCAATGCATGCAATGCAATTTTTTTTTTTTTTTTTTTCCCAAAATCAAGATATTAGCTTAATTTATAGTACTCTATAAAGGAAATTATACATTTTAGATGCTGATCACTAGTTTTTCCACTATTTAATTAATTTTTATTTATCCCAGTGATCCTGTGCTTTGGTAAATTATGACCTCATGCATGTCAGATGTTAATTTGCAAGTCAGAAACATGCAGTTTAAAATTATTTTAAATATTAAATACAATGTGTCACCTAGCAGTTTCAATTCCCTTATACTGAACACACAAAAAAGTTAAACTTAAGGGGGAAAAAATAAAAAAAAGTTTTCTTTGCATTCTAAATATATTTTGTGAATCACTCCATAGTTACTCCAATTATGGGAGTAACCTCAGTTAAACTGTACACATTCAGATATTGCAAACAAACTTAAAGGTTTGATCTATGAATGCAATATAAGAATATAGACTGGATCCAATAAGTTGACATCATACTCCTCACCCCTCAACCATCAAATTGCAAATGAAAACTTAAAGGGGTCATATGATGCGATTTCAAGTTTTCCTTTCTCTTTGGAGTGTTACAAGCTGTTTGTGAATAGATAACATCCCTAAAGTTGCCCAAAGAGATATTCTTTATAAAAGTTAAGACTCATCCACACCTTCCTAAAACGCCTAGTTTAAACACGCCCCCACATGTCTACGTCACGATGTGGAAAGATTTGCATAACGCCGCCCAAATGTTCACGCAAAGAAAGAAGGCATAACTTTATTGTTGTTGCCGCCACCGCCATGTTCTGAAGACGCTGCATGTTTCATTGCGAAAGCGAAACTACTTTGTTTGGTCTTCCAAAAGAGGACACGACTAGAAATCAGTGGTTAAGTTGTATTTACAACACTGTTCCAGAACAGTTCAACCCAAATATTCAGATGTGTGCAGCGCATTTTATGGAGGACTGTTTCCTGATCCTGGGAGAGTAGACTACAATGCCGGCTGTTCTGACTCACAGACTGTAACTACGTTTTCATATTTAAAGGATTTGCCACTGATGATTAAAACGTGAGTTTTGAGCAGTGTAGAGTAGCGCTTGTTGTTTGTCATTTCTCCGATCACAAATGCAGACATGGTTTTATGTTTACGCGGCACGATGCAACGCAACACGTAAAAAGACAGTATAAGTCATTATAATCCGTAATTATGTCCCCACTGGATGCAACAAATGCCTCGTTTATAATGGGTTTTAATGTTTTTGTCTCGTCTTGTCTCGTCACACGGCATCACAGAATGGTAGGGGCATAATAATTCCGTCACATACTTGAGGTATTCGGCCAATCACAACGCACTGGATAGCTGGCCAATCAGAGCACACCTCACTTTTCGACGCGTTTCAGAAAGGCGGGGCATAGAGGAGAAACAATAATGTATAGTATGTGGAAAAAATATGTTTCTTGAACCTTAAACCGCATAAACACATTTCATTACACCAAATACATAAAAAAAAAAGTAATTTTTAGCAACATCATATGTGTCACGGGCAGGGTGTTCTAGAGATCAGGCAGGACGACGAAGATGACGAATACAAAGATATTTAATGACTTGACAACAGGAAATACAGACAGGGTAGACATCAACATTCACACTAACCGACCAACTGGAATACAAGAGACAGGAACTGATATAGGGCAGATAACGAGGGGCAGACAGGTGAGCACAATGAGGTGATTAACTAATAATGAGAACAGGAACAACCAAATAAGGACACAGAGGGAGAAACTACAATCAACAGTCCACAGGGGTGTGACAGATCACGGGCAGGGTGTTCTAGAGATCAGGCAGGACGACGAAGATGACGAATACAAAGATATTTAATGACTTGACAACAGGAAATACAGACAGGGTAGACATCAACATTCACACTAACCGACCAACTGGAATACAAGAGACAGGAACTGATATAGGGCAGATAACGAGGGGCAGACAGGTGAGCACAATGAGGTGATTAACTAATAATGAGAACAGGAACAACCAAATAAGGACACAGAGGGAGAAACTACAATCAACAGTCCACAGGGGTGTGACAGATCACCCCCCGCCCGGAAGGCGCGTCCTCGCACCGTAGAGACAGAAGGAGGGACGGAGGGGGACTTAGGAGGAGGACAAAGGAGTGGATGTGGGATGGTGACAGGGGAAGGCAAAGGGCTGGCAGGCCGACATGACAGGTGGAGGCTCCGGCAGAGGACGGATATCCAGGAGGAGCCGGCAGACAGAGACCAGGGGGGCGACGAAGGAGGGAGGAGCCAGGGAGGAGACAGGAGGGACCCGGAGCAGGAGGAGCTCAGCAGGACCCAGGCCACAGCCATAACAGCGGCCCACGGTGGAGCCGACGGTGGGAGGAGCCATGGAGGAGGGATAGCTGCCGACTCCAGGGGGCCGACCAACGGTGGAGGAGCAGGTGGAGGAGGAGCCCGAGGCGGAGACGGAGAGCCAACGAGCCAGGGGGATGCCGAGAATTCGGGGCGCCAGGGTGGAGACGAGGGCTTTGGCGACCGAGGCGGAGGCGGAGGCGGAGATCCAGAGATCTGCGGCGGAGCCGGAGCGACTGAGGACCAAGGTGGAGCTGGCGGGAGGAAGGAGCCCAACGGAGCCGGTGGGACAGAGCGACGAGGCGCAGCCAGAGGAGAGAAGTCCAGAGGCGATGGCGGGTGTGTCGACCTGCCTTGAAAGAACATTTCTTAAGGCGAGGGAGCCCGGTGGAGCTGATGGATCGATGGGTGACGGTGGAGGCGAGGGAGCTAGGAGCCGAGGCAACCAAATAAGGACACAGAGGGAGAAACTACAATCAACAGTCCACAGGGGTGTGACAGAATGACCCCTTTAAAAAGTGTAAAAGTATTAACAAATAGCTTTCAGCAGTCCATGAATAACCCCAAAGTCTTTTTATGGATGTGTTAATTATTACTGTAGTAATATATGCAAGTCTATATTACATTTACATTTATAGCTTATATAAATACATATATATATATATATATATATATATATATATATATACACACACATATATATGTATATATATAACCTAAATTTATTCAGACACCTTCAACATTTCTCACAGTTTATTCGCTATAGTTTAGAAAATGGTAATAAAATATGACAAGAACCCAGAGTTAAACTGTGTCAGAACAAATTAATCTTGATAATGTCAGATAACTTTGATAGAAATGTCTGTAATGGATTACAATCAATCAAAGATTATTCAGATGTTAAATTTATGTACACAATTAGATAATACCAATTTAGGTAAATTAATTACCAAGCAATGCTTCATTTTGTTCAGTCTGTGGTGTAAAAAGGCCACATTAGCAATTAAAGAAAAAAACACTTAAGCAAAACATGGTCAAGTCGAAGTGTCTGATTAATTTTTGGTCCCAATTTTTTATCAATTTTACTGGTAGGTTTACTTCATTTTGCTATCCTCACTTAGATAAATTAACTAGTGTCCTGCACCCACTAGTAAAAAAAAACTGGTGTCTGAATAATTTTGGGTTTGACTGTATATATAAGCATATATATAAACGGCTAAAAACACATATCTTCCATCTTTATTTGACCGTCTAACTCTAGAACTCTCTGTTCTAATTCTATTGTATGTATTTGTTTTCTTTTTTTATTTAATAAAAAGAAAGCAAGTAGGTAGAATAGAGAAAGAACAGAGAAAGCTAGTTTTAGTGGTCTTTTTTAAAGAAAACAAGCAGTTAAAAAACAAATAGATAGTGCAAGTGTTAGAGGGTCAAGTTTTTTTTCTTAAGTAAAAAAAGAAAACAAATACATACAATAGAATTAGAACAGAGAGTGCTAGAGTTAGACGGTCAAATAAAGATGGAAGATATGTGTTTTTAGCCGTTTCTTGAAGATGGCTAAGGACTCTCGAATTGAGTTCTATATTATATAAAGGCCTGTTCACAAAAGGACAGTAACTATAAAGACAACGATAAAGATATAGTTCTAACAATCATTCTCAATATTAAAGAATAGCAGAGTCCACACCGTCGACAATATACAATGATATAAAGGCGCAGAGAAACGATTTTGTTGGAATCACTTTCAGAACTATTTTTTTCCAGCTGATGAATGCTAAAAACACTGACACCCACTCAGAATCAATCCTGCTATAACAAGCTCGAGAATTTAAAGCGGCAGACGAGCGTGCACTTAGAATGAGCAGATGATATTGTCCGCTGTAGTGGACGCTTATATAGTTATCGAGCCTTAAAATGTTGCATGAATGAAAAATGTTCCCCTCATTATTTGAAGACTGTTGGATATTTCAAAGTGCTTTTAATAATTTTGACAGATGGCTAACACATTGTATTTCCATGCTTTCCCATAAAAACTGCTGATAGGGATAGGGGAAAAGGAGAAAATTGTGTTTTAAAGCGTTCATGTGAAAACAAGCCGGGAAAAAGACATGATTGAGGATTTGTGAAGAAAATGAGAGATTCTCACTGCATTCCAGTAAGGCATATGTTCATTAAATCGGGAGAGAAAAATCTGTTATGTTTTCCCTACTGTTTTACAGCAAAATGCAGACTGCAGACTGAAAGATATTCTTGTGAATATCGAGTTTATGTCACATTAAAATACCAGGCATTACAATATTTTCCTGACAGATAAAAATAGAGCCTGAGAGTAAATGTATGGCTTATTGAGTCAAACTGATGGATAAGGAATATTTGTAGAACTACCATTTATTTGAAATGATTTGTTTCAGTCATTTTGAGTGTTCCCCAAACTGCCAACCATAATTTAAAGCAGACTTGTTTGGGAAAAGGTGCATACTGGCATGCATCTAATTTGGATTGCTTCTACTGACAGATGAATTTGCACCAAAATACCATTTGTTTGATTGGACACATGGGATTTAACTCAAAGGTTCAACACTAAAAGATGGGAAGGGTTTTCTCCTGCCTTGATAAGCCCTATTCTAGCCCTATTCTATTAGGCTATTCTAACTATGTATGGTTGCATGGTTAGTTGCATTTTATTATTTATCTTTAATATAGTAAAGTTTGAAAAGTGAAGGTGTGAGTGGTTATGTGTGTGTGTGTGTGCTAGATATGTGAACAGAGACAAGCACAGCAGCTCATTTAGGTGGTGCTGACAGATGCTCTTTTAACGTGAGGCCAGTAGAAGAGAGACAGGACGGACAATGGTAGAGTGAGTGACCCGTGCAGGATGGCCAGAGAGACCAGTGCAGTTAAACACTCTCTCTACAGACATATCTGTTACCTCTGCATATGAGAACCACTCTAAGTTAACAGTCCCACAAACACAGAATACTTCAAAGAGACAGCGCACCGCACACACAACCCTGAGAATGATAGCATATACCACACACAACATCTTACATTCAGTCTAACTTGAGATAGACTGGACCGACGGGGTTGTCAGGTGTTTCTATGAAGTATGGAGGTTAAGGAGATTAAGGACAGCCAGGAAAGATTCATTTGGGCAGCACTCACTTACGGGAAGTTAGCGATGCGTACAGCCACAGGCACACAGGACAGCTGGGCCGCCCACTTCAGCGTCACATCCTGGTACACCAGCAGCATGTTGTTATGGTTACACATCAGGATGTTGGTGGAACCCTCAGAAACTGAAGACAAAGCCAGAGAGAAGACAGCTGAGTATGAAGGAGGAAGTGTGTGTTGAGATGGTCTGTGGTCTCTGGGCCTCACATGGAGAGTCAATGCAGCGGTTAAATGATAGACTGCATCCACTTCCAAACCACAAGAAGACATCCATCTCTCACCTTCCTATAAACCAACACCACTCTCACCAACACACACACACACACACACATACACATCTCCGTTCTGTGGCCAAACACCCAAAATCATCTCTCTCTCTCTACGCAGCAGACAAAGACAACAGTAATTTAACTCATGAGATTGTCTACATGAGTGTGTGTGTGTGTGTATTTGTGCTTCTACAGCACACAGTTCAAACAACTTTGACAGATAATGCATGGAAATGCATATGGAAACATTTCTTAATTGGTATTTTTGTTTTGTTGTTCCAGTAAAAATATCTAGAAATCCTTTCCTAGGGACAGTTCAGCCAAAAATGAAAGTTCACTCATCATTTACTCACCCTCATATAATTCCAAACCGATTTAATTCATCCTCGAACAACAAATTAAGATTTTTTTAACGTAACCTGAGAGATTTCTGTCCTTCCAGGATCCGTGTCTCTGCGGAAGACTTGGATTAAGCTGCCCGATTCATTTGGATTACTTTTTGAAACATCACAGTTTTGGTGGAATGAACTTTTAATGGAGAGAAAGCAATCTCTCAGGTTTTGTCAAAATTGCTTCTTGATGGGAAAGAACCAATGAAGTTTGTTCTTGTGTGTCAAGCAAGTACAGCTGAACTTCTGTTTACCATTTTTGATGTCCGTATTTGACTTACTGTATGCTGAGCAGACTTGCACAATTAAGAGTTAAAAGATTGCAATCTCGATTCAAACACCCATGCGATCTTATCCCTAAATGACAAAGATTCAGCTATGTCTATTATGCCTGTTTCCAATCGCAATGGAGCATGTATTTTGGAGCTTGTATTTTGTCGTCGCTCATATTAATGAATGAAAGTGACAGTGAACACTGTCATTCATTGATATGGGCAACTGACTAAACTGACTGTTTAAAAAAAAAAAAAGCATTTATCACTGAATCATTAATTCAAGAGATTCATTAACAAACGTGGGTTCAGCCAATAACAAAACAAGTCTACTACTGACTCCTTCATTTATAGTTAGTGGTTTTTTTTCTTCAGAATCATGGGATAAAAGCCTAAATTAAATCTGTTTATCATATAAAGTGCTTTGATCTCTTCTTTCACATCATTCATATGGATATATTTTATGATGTCTTCATGAAGCTTAAAAAGTTTGGTCACATGGACTTTCAATGGAGAAATAGAAATTGTTCATGTTTAAAAAAAATATCTTCATTTGCATTTTGAAAATGAAAAATAAGTCTTTGGAATGACATTTATGATAAATGGTAAATAAATGAATTTTTGATGAAATTTTCTTGACAAGCACAGCTGTGTAAAATAGTAAGAGAAAGTGCCCCTATTATGGATTTTTGAAAATGACCTTTCATGCAGTGTGTAACACAGCTCTAAGTGAATGAAAACATCCTGCAAAGTTTTAAATCTGAAAGTGCACCGTGTATAAAGTTATTGTCTCTCAAAAGAAAGAGTCGACTCTGAATAATTGAAACGAGTCGTTTTTAAAACAAATCCCAAGCCGTTTCATGTTGACGTCAACATGAAACATTAGCATATTGCCCGTCCACTTGCTGGTCTTTTCGTGTTGGTCTGAATGAAAATGCAAATTCAGGTGCCGCTTTTGGAGCGGTAAAATAGCAGTTACCCCAGTAACGGCTGTACACAAAGCAGCACTGTGCTCACAAACATTGCTTTATCAGGCATTACAGGCAAAATGAAATTAAAATGAGACCAATCGGACCAATCACCGCAGATTAGCGTCACGCAAAGGAGGGGTTTGGAAAAATGAATAGTTGAGCGAATCGTTTGGGAGTCCTTGAGCAAATAAGGTAAAAATAAATGCATATTATAAGACAATGAAAGTGTTTTTTGACCTTGCATGCATGTCAACCTGTTGTTGGGGACTCCCAAAACCAAAATATGATCCTTTCATAACCCATAATAGGGGCACTTTAAATTTTAAGCATACATTTTTCTTACTCCATTGGCAAATAGTTTTTCTTGCTTTAAGCATAAACAGGAGGTTTCCATGTGCTATAGAAGTCTAAACAGCACAGCATGAAGTATGGCTCACCTGATCCGTAGGGCAAGAAACAGCTGGGGTTGAACTCCAATTTCTTCATGAAGCGGATCTGACCATTATCCTTGAGACAAAATAAATTTCTCTCCCCCAGCACGAAGATGGAGGACATCGCTGAAGATGTGTTGGGAACACAGATATCTAAAGCCTCTTCTCCTAACACCAGTGTCCAGTCAGCCTGAGGACAAACATACTCACAGTCATTTCCAAAGGCAAATATTCACACTGGAAACAGTAGCACTTTCAATCTTCAGGAAACGCACCGTCAGTCTCTTCCCTGAGCTCTTGCTCTGCTGATCAGAGTCTTGTCTGGTGTCTGCATCTGTGGCTACAGCCAGTGTCTCATACCTGCGTTTAAAGAGATGTTAATTGCACCAATTATCAAAAAAACAGAGACATTGGAGATTGCTCAATGCTTCAATATTCACTTCACCAGAACACTGATGCACTGAAGGTTTCTTCACAAGCAGTCATAGTTTAGTTTTCATGACCATTTCCCATGACTTTTACCTTGACCTTTTCAACAGAAAAGATCAATCATACAAAAGTGTCTAATTGTGACACAATCTGTTGAAATTATATTCAAATAATTGTTTTTGTAATTCATTATTTATTTTTAAACCATTATTATTAGTTTTTTTTTATTCAGACATTAGGGTGACCATACGGGCCATTTTTACGGGACGCACCCTTGCCAGGATTTCTATATTGCCTAAAATATCCAGGTTTTGGCTGTTAGCACTGTGCAGATCGATCATTGTATGACATTATTTCACGATAGCTATAGAGAGCAGAGCAGACGGCTCCTTATGCTTTCAAATCGCTCTCGCAGTACTTTGGTGTCATACAAAGATCGGTTCGCAGCTTCAAGTCGAACGAACGAACACATGCGCGTATTTGCATCGCTTTGATCATTCTCACCTTCTCACGTGCGATGCGCCATGATTGGTCGATTATGTACAATACCTGCATGTTTTTGGTCAAACTACTTTGGATGTTTTAGGCAATAAATCATGGCCAGGACGTGTCCCGCATAAATGGCTCATATGGCCACCCTACCAAGGATTTCCTGAAGGGTTGTAAAGGTTGAAAAACCTTATATAAAACAAACGTAAAACAAAACCATTCATATAATATTTAGTTTGACCCCCCTGAAGTGGATGATGGACATCCTCGATGGAGTTTCTAGGTCAATTTAGTACCCTATTCTTGGAAAGTGTTTTGTTTCAAAAGAACAAGAAAATCCTGTTTTGAATTTGCAATATGACCCCAAATTTCTACTGAATTCCTCTAGGAATGTTGGGTGGGTTTGGGCAAACATTTATAGCAATGAGACACAGCAGTGATTATTCAGCTTTGAGAGCATGTTGGGTACTGGCGTTTAGAGTGTGCATGTGTGTGTGTGTGTGTGTGTGTGTGTGCGCACATGTCTGTAACAGATCAAACGCTGTATTCAGAAATCACTGACAGTCCTCCAAAACTATCAGCAGGTCATGAGGAGTATTATGAGAACCAAAGTCTCTGCTGTCTCACCTCAGCTCAGATCTCCATTTTCAACAGCTTTAGCCAGATTGTGAAGAAAGATCATATTTCTTAAAGGTTTGCCTAAAATGAAATCTCTATCATCATTTTACCCTTATGTCGTTCCAAACCCATAAGTCTTTCATTCATCTTCAACTGAAGATATTTTTAAAGGGGTCATATGATGTGATTTCAAGTTTTCCTTTCTCTTTGGAGTGTTACAAGCTGATTGTGCATAGATAAGATCCCTGAAGTTGCAAAGACTAAAGTCTCAAAACCAAAGAGATATACTTTATCAAAGTTAAGACTCTGCCACGCCCCCCTAAAACGGCTCATTCTAACACGCCCCCACATATCTACCTCACTATGTGGAAATATTAGCATAATGCCGCCCAAATGTACACGCAAAGAAAGAAGGCGTGGTTTCAGTAACCGCAGTTATAGTGTTGAAGCAGCATGTCAGGGAGACGCTGTGTGTTTCTAGGCGAAAGCAAAAGCACTTTATTTGGCCTTCCGAAAGTAGATGCATTTAGGAATCTTTAAGATTACTTACAACAGAACAGCAATGCATTTTATGGACGACCATTTCATGAACCTAGGAGAGAAGGTAATTCTGACTTTGCTATGACAATCTAGCGCTTCTGAATCAGCTACTGTTTTGTTATTAAATTAAGTATTTGCTATTGACTGTTCAATTGCGGAGTTTTGAGCATCGTGTGTGTGTGCGTGCGTGCGTGCGTGCGAGAGAGAGAGAGAGAGAGAGAGAGATCACAGTGGAGTATTACACCAAATACACAAAATAATGATCTTTAAAAAAGCATCATATGACCCCTTTAATGAAACCTGAGAGATTTCTGTACCTCCAATGAAAGTCCATGCACCCAAAACTTTGTTGTTCAAAAAGTTCAAAAGAACATTGTAAACATAATCCATATGTCTGAAGAAACACGATCACTTGATATAACGAACAGATTTAATTGAACCATTTTTCATATATAACACTGCACAACGTGTGATATGTTGTCATGTGTCAAGGTCAAATTATTTTATTAAAAGTTATGTTATCGGTTTAATTCAGTCAAATTAATTATTAGTTTAATTAAGTGTCTATAACCAAATACACTAAATACAATCTGTTTTGAGTTTCTGTTAAAGATGTTTTTTTGTTAAAAAAATGACTTCTAAAGACTAATTTACATTCTTTAACATATCAATACTACAATTAATCATATTTAATCCTGAAGATTTGAGTATGTAAATAAGTAGGATGAACTTGAAACCGTCATCCAAAGCTATTTCCTGTTTTACTGTGCTATCTTACCTTCGCTCCCTTACGGATACCAAATGTGTCTGTAAATGAAACATGACCCATATCGTTTGCCACAAATGAGAACAGCAACACAGCAAAAATAAACAGTGGTGATCAATCAATGGAAATTTCATTCGGATGTAAAAACATTCCCTTATCATGTCTGTAAGAATATGTTGGAAATAGTTTTACACCTAGCCTACCACTGCTTTAGGAAACATATTACTAATATACTCCTGCACTTATTTTAAACATGGAGACTGAGTATGTGCTTGGCGATGTGTCTCATAAAGTCATATTCCAAGATATGACCAAGGAATAATAAAAAAGTAAATGTATAGAATACCCACATATCCTGTACGTTCAATAAGAATGAGTCTGTGTGCGAAAGGATATGGCCAGTGACTATATGGACAATTGGTCAAGGAGCGAATTGGACTCACCTGTAGCACTCCACCTGCCGGGTGGAGGAGACCGTGATGAAGGAGTCAGTGCGGATGCAGTAGCTCAGAGGGCCGGGCAACAGGAAGCCAGGCAGGAAGCGACCAAAAGCATACGTTTCCTGCTCAAAAAACATCAGCATCCCATCCATGGACTGGATACAGATGAAATGATGACCTGCACAACAGCACAAGAAATATTCCGTTGAGACAACATAAACAGAAGAACATATTCAATAGTATTACGCAGCTATTTTGCATAGCCCAGATTTTCACACCAATGTTAAATAGTTGCATTTATTATTTTTGTATTATTTTTAATCACTAAAGTCTAAACACTTTTTCCACCTCCTAACTAATATAGAGTAGGTTGCTCGTGATTCTGAATAATGTAGCAACTGCATTAATGCAGATTGTGCACTAATTTTATTTGTCTGCATTCTGCAATGGCTTCGAAGCAGCTCATCAAATCAGAATTTAGAGTCAGATCTGTCCTTTTAATAAGAAGAAATAAACATCCAAGAGAATAGCCACGGCCCAAGCTAACATAAAATCAGTGCTTATTTGTCTACTGAGTTTGTCAAATGTTTTCTGGGTTGTTCTGGGGCCAGCTGCATAAACTTAGCCTCTATACTAAGACAGTGCCTTAAGTACTAGCAGTTAGCCAATAAGAAATCCATCATTTTTGGATTTAACTTAGACTAATCTATGCTTTTATGTAACTGAATTTAAAAAAAAAATTATAACCAGTCTTGAAGAAAAAATTTGATGACTAACTTGTAAGACCAGTCTAAACCTTTCATGCAACTAGCCCCTTTACTGTTATATTTATTCACTCTCATCTGTATTAGAAGCCATACTACAGTATGTTATACATAAAGATGGTTAAATGATTAGCTCTGTACAAAAGTCTCTTTAATATAGGTCAGTTCACACTGTCATCCCTACAATTTTTTTTTTTTTTTTACAAGTATTGCTGCTATCTACTTGAATGGGAAAAGACCAATATCTGCAGCCAGCATTTTAGGAAATACAATTTATTATTACAATATTTCTCTTGCGTCTTCTCCCTTTTATACTCTCTTGGCTCTGTCATGTGCCGATGAAATGTGACTAATGGTTGATGAACTCCATCATAGAGACTGTGCTGTCCTCATGTGGTTGATAAGAGAAATGCCCAAAAAAAGGTACTTCTTTAAGTCTAAAATCCTATTAAACGAACATGTGCTACTATTTTATTTATAGTGGGGTCGACTTTAATCGGCTTTCTTCACACAAACAAAATAAATATCAGGATCCAGAATTTACAAGTAGATGTTCATTGAGACTAAAGCGGGCATTAGGTTTCAGAGTGATGTGAATGAGAATGAATGTATGAGAAACGTTCTATTTGTTATTACATTAACATGAATCTTAATGTTCATTTCGACATTTACGAATACATTATAAAAATCAAAAGTTAACACCAATGAACCTAAGCTAACATGAACTAATGAACAGTTGTATTTTTATTAACAAGTGATAACAAAGATTAATAAATGCTGTAACAATTGTACTGCTCATTGTTAGTTACTCTGTTGGTTGCTTAATGCATTAATATTAGCTATTGGCACCATACTGTAAAGTGTGATTGAAAAGGGTTTTGAGAGACCTAAACTATTCCATCTATTCCATCACACTAATTGTTCTTATAAAAAGAAAAAAAATATGTAGCTAAATTTAGAATGAGATGGTAATATTATGTGTGGAATATTAATAATAACAATTACCTGTGACACCCCCAAAGGGACCATAAGTCATGTTGCAAGCTGTTCTCTGCAGGTTGTGTTCATACACCAGTCGCAGCTGATACTGGTCACCATGTTCAACATTCCCAGCAGTACCTGAGAAAACCAACACCAGCAAACACCACATCTGCAAGAGCGCATACATTTGGTGCACAAAATCCCAAGATAATATATAAATATGACAGATTGACAATAATTATTAGCTCAGACTGACTTTTTATGTTAAACTGAAATTCTGTCTTGACAGGTTGTCATGAACATACAATAAATAACATTTTTAAGAATGGATTCTGGGAAATCATAGGGCCTTAAAATTAGTTCACGTACTCCATGGCTATGGGTTCCTGACCCCAGATCCCACTTTGGGAACCCTTGGTCTGCAATTATAATATCAGTCAATAAACAAAGTACAAAAATAACCACTGCATGAGTATAGTTCTGTTTAAGACTGAAAAAAAGTCGACCACTAATATGCAAAGTTTTATGGCAGTGATTGAAAGGAAGTTCAACAAAAGATAGGTCTGAATCTGTGGAAAACCAACCTGACACAGCATAGATAGACAGCTTCCTGGGGTGAAGCACTGCCAGATGGAGCAACTCTGAACAACTACAATGCATGACAAAGCAAGAAAAAGGAGAAAAGGGAGTTATATTACATTGCATTATATCTTTTGCCCCATCATGAAAACTTCAGAGCTTTGATCATAAAACTACGCATTTAAATATCATCTTACAAAGACATTATTAGGAGATACAGAACGCCAACAGATATTTGTACATTTTATTCATGCAGTCTGCTATACTGTTCTAAAGATCTAATTTTTCCTTTTTGAGTATGAACTCTGTATTTTCCTACAGTATATCATACTGAAGGAGACATAAAAGCCTAATGTATCGAATATGATCCTGAAATCTATCTGTCAAAAGATAGCTATAGATCAGACCTACACACAAGAACAATTCTTCTATCCAAACGTGTTACATTTCTAAATATTGTGAGATGCTGCTGAGACAGTGACCAGGAATCAATAGAACAATAAATGTCTTTTATCAGACCTCTCTGCTGTGATCATCACTGCATGTGCATTATGTTCAGTGACTGAAGTTGAAAAATAAAATTGATGATGAATAACATGCATAAATGAAAGGAAAAAGTCCTGGTATGTCTACTCTAGAACTTAATGAATACCACGGTATTTCAACTGCTCTTTCATGTGGCATATCCTTTAGAAACAAAACAAATTAACAATGATAAAAAGAAATTAAAAAGCAAATAATCTAGGCTGATGCATACAGTATACTTATATATCTCAACATTCTAGAAGTACCATGGTATAAGCTACTATATCAGGTATTATTAGAATGGAACCTTGACTCATACAGCCCCAAAGCTTCCTGTAGTGTTTCAAGAAGTTAGTTCTATCATATTAAAAGTATTTTGTATTGAAACCTGGCAACAGTCATCTGGCTGTTGTCTAAAATATCCCATCATACACTGTGATAGTCTGTGAAATCTGTCAACTCCGGGCAAATCAGGGCAGAAATCTGGGCAAAAGTTGTGTAGTGTATTCCAGACTTAAGAAACCCACTGAATAATCCATTTCCTTCAGATGTCTAAAAGCCTAATCACTTACAATACAACAGCAACTATACAGTACAACTAACAGTGAAGATAATTCTGTTTGTTAATTGTTTTATAATATTTGAGTAATGACTTTTTATGAACTTATCAATTATTTACAAATGATAAAAACTATTATTTTTCTTAAAGGAGCCATTATAAGATTCCATTAAAGGAATCAGAAGTGACAGTTTCTTTCTGTCTCACTGCATTTGTTGCTCATAACATCACGATCAGCAAGCATAATATAAAGAGAGAACATAACAGATGTATAATCATAATAAACGTAGTAGCTTTATAATTTGGTATATGTGTGTTTGGAATTAGGCACATAATAAAGACTATAGAAGCCATGTGCTGCACTTACAAAATAGGACTTGAAGCTGTATCAGTGAAATTAATAACTCTTAGAAAAATTATTTTCTGAATAAACAGCTGGTTTGTATGATTTCTTTATTTTCTAGTGATACATATCCTAAATTAAATAAATATATCAACGAAAGCAAGAGGAGGGTAACAGAGAATTTAGAAACAAACAAATGTTGTTTTTCTTTTCCAAAGAATATGGGATTTGTGCCTTTATTGCTTAAAAAAAATAATAGGGTACCAACTGTATCCTATTCATGGAAAGTGCCATACAAATATGATTTGTGCTGATAATTGGTATATGTGGCAGATTGATAAATAAGCTGATTATGATTTTGTAGAGACGTGTTTGAGTTGGTAGTGATGATTGCTGCGATGTGAATGGCTGAAACACAGCATATGTGACACTTACGAGACAAACTTGCCCATCTCCACTTGAATGATGGGGTCAGGCAGCTGAACCTCCAGCAGCTGGGCGTCAGCTTCCGTCGGCTCCTCTGGTTTAGCAGGGTGTGGTGAGAAGATGCGTAACATCCCCATAAAACTGCCCACTACAATCTTATCTGGTTTAGAGACAGAGAGCGAATGTAAACAGTCTGGTTCAACATCACAGTATACTGAACGTTATGCCCTGCATCTAATTCTTGTCATTTGGACTTTCTTTACAGATAAGGAATAAAGCTGAACTTTATTGCCATTGGAGCATCCTTATGCAGACCTTATGTAGCTCCACCCCTTTTTAGCACTGCGCTTGTATTTCCTCAGTGTGAAGGTAAAGTCGTACGAATTTATTAATGAACCACTCGTTTTAAAATCTTCCCGGTCTACTGACATTTGGTATGAAATCCACTTAGTGTGACTTTAGTGTGTTCACTGGATTGTACTACTGTTTAACATGCCAAATGTTCAGTTAAAGGGGTCATATGACGTTGCTAAAAAAGAACATTATTTTGTATATTTGGTGTAATGAAATAAGTTTATGTGGTTTAAGGTTAAAAAAAAACACATTATTTTCCACATACTGTACATTATTGTTGCTCCCCTATGCGCCGCCTTTCTGAAACGCATCGATTTTTACAAAGCTCATCGTTCTGAAAAGCGAGGTGTGCTCTGATTGGCCAGCTATCCAGTGCGTTGTGATTGGCCGAATGCCTCAAGCATGTGACGGAAATGTTAATCCCCTCACCATACTGTGATGCTGTCTCCCGGCGCGATGAGACAAAACCAGTAAAACCCATTACAAACGAGGCATTTGTTGCATCCAGTGGGGACATAATTACTGATTATAATGACTTATACTGTCTTTTTACACGTTGCGTTGTGTATCGCACCGCGTAAACATAAAACCATGTCTGCATTTGTGATCGGAGAAATGACAAACAAGCAGCGCTACGTTGTAAATACAACTTAACCACTGATTTCTAGTTGTGTCTTCTTTTTGTCTTCGCTTTCACAACGAAACACACAGTATCTCCACGACCTGGCGGCAGCAACAATACTACAGCGAGAATCAAAGTTATGCCTTCTTTCTTTGTGTGAACATTTGGGCGGCGTTATGCAAATCTTCCCACACAGTGACGTAGACATGTGGGGGCGTGTTAGAACGAGGTGTTTTAGGAAGGTGTGGACGAGTCTTAACTTTTATAAAGCATATCTCTTTGGGTTTGAGACTTTAGTCTTTGCAACTTTAGGGATCTTATCTATTCACGAACAGCTTGTAACACTCCAAAGAGAAAGGAAAACTTGAAATCGCATCATATGACCCCTTTAACAAAAAATAAAAATAAAATAAAAATTCCAAAAAATCTCTCAGTAGACAAAAACTCCATAAAACAGTTTTAAAAGTTGTGAGTCATGACTGTTTCCCAAATTCGTAGCACATCTCTGTACTAGTTTGAACCATGCTGATTAAACAATATTGGACTGTCATTAATGAAGTCATGCCCAAGTGGTGAAGTAATAACTTCTGCAAAATAAATCACTTCAAGTTCAGAAATAATGTCGTATTATTCTAGTTTATTTACATGAACAAAAGAAAGCCATTTTTATCACGTTAACCAATCAATGAACTATGTTGGTAACAACAAAACATGTGAAAATAGTTGGCTGAAGATGTCGATGCTTTTGGGAAACGTACCCCAATCCTAATCAACTACTTAAAAGAGCCGTGTATTAAGTACTTTAACTCACCATATCCACTTCCACTGTTATCCACATCCCCAACACACAGACATCCCTGGTCAAACTCCTCACCCTCACCCAGCACTGAAGCCCACCAATCACGAGCCTTAAATAAAGACATCCTGTAAAGACATAAGAGTGTCATTTAATTACATATTAGAACCAAACATCTGCCAAACTCCTTCAAATCCTTGAGTGCTGTGAAAAAGTGTTTGATCCATGTCCTCATTTTTGCAAATTTTTACACGGCATGTCATCAGATCTTTAACAAAATCTTACGCATACATGAAAGTGAATCAGAAGCATTAAAGAAATAATTATATCCAGTGCCCCTGTGTTGAAACAGTGACTGAATTAATAACTGGACATGCCCCACCAGCATCAATAATCACAACCAAAGAATTTCCTGTAGGCGTTTATGGGTTTTACACACTTTGGAAGAGCTGCTTCAGTGACATTTGTAGGCTTTCAAGCACGAACTGCACGTTTAAGGTCCTGTACAGTTTTGAGCCATTTTTAACTTCCACCACCTGACTTGACTGTTATGATACAAGCTTCCCATGCTTTATGATTCACTGAACATAACTTGGCTTATGGCTTGGCGAAATTTAGCATCATATCACTTGCTCACCAATGGATCCTCACCAGCGAATGGGTGCCATCAGAATGAGAGTCCAAATAGCTGATTAAAAAAAAACATCACAATAATCCACAAGTAATTCACATGACTTCAGTCAAGCGAAAAGCAGCATGTTTTGTAAGAAACAAAATCCATCATTAAGACATTTTAACTTTAAACCATTGCTTTCGGTCAAAATACGAGTCTATAATCCATAACAATGCTTCCCCCCTAGAGAAGGTTGTCATCCAGCAGATTACAACTGTTTTGGACTGTTTTCACTTGTAAACTGTGCTTGTTCTGTGCATATGGATATAGGACTTTAGCAGAAACATGTATGTTAACTGAAACTGAACTCTCGTTCTGATGGCACCCATTCACTGCAGAGGATCTATTGGTGAGCATGTGATGTAATGCTACAAATTTCTGGCCTGAGGGTGAGAAAGTATTCATTTTTTTATATTCCTTTAAGGCTCTTTTGTGAGTTTGTGGATATTTTAGCAACTTGCTCTTGGATAGATTTCAGCATAACAGCTACTCCTTAGAAAATTAGCAACTATTACAAAAAAAATCTCAAATTGATCAGTGTTTGTTGGAGACCTGGGTATGTTATAATCAAGGCTGTCAAATTCACTCTGGGGGTATTTAGAGTTATCTATATAATACATAGACAATAGAAAAGAATAGACCATTTAGAACTAAACATTATTTTATAGGCCTATATACTTATAATATACAATATACTTTATTAAAAAAAATTTGTTTCATTCCCATCAGGTGCATTTTTAAGTGCACAAAGCTTAGTAAAGGCAAATCTTAGGACATGCAGCTGAAATACATTATTATACCTAATGATTTTACATATTTGTGGACTTAATACACAGATACTCAAATAGAAGAGCAACCGCTGCAGAATAAATTCTGCTGGATCTCATTATACTTGTGCATTTTATGCAAGCATAAAGACCTCTCCATTAAGACCAGATCAAATCATTCCCTGTCTTTGTCTGCAAGTGGTCACTTCTGTGCACATGGTCTTTGATGCTGACAGAACCACTGGGTCTGCCTGACATACAACTGAGTGTAGAACATGACAGATGGGTCACATGACTGCAGATTTCATTGGCTGCAGCTCAAGCAGCTTTCCTAACTGCTTAACAGAGTTAATCCACACACCAGAGACACAGAGAACAGGAAATGCAAGGAAGTAGACCGGTTCAATAGGATGGACAGACTTCTGTGCCCTGACATAATATATCAAATGTTTCAGCACAAAAAATACTGAAGAGCGTTATTTAAAGAACATATGATGGATATCTCTCTAATAGAGCTATACAGTCCTCATCAATGTTGGGGTTAACGCATTACAAGTAACGTAATCAGATTACTTTTTTCAAGTAACTAGTAAAGTAACGCATTACTTTTTAATTTACAAGAGAATATCTGAGTTACCTTTTCAAATGAGTAACGCAAGTTACTTTTTTTTTTCCAATTTATTGACTGAATGAATACAAATGAATACAAATAATGCAACTCCGAATATGCAATAATTAAATGTTAAACAACACAAATATGCTTTATGTATTTAATCCCATTCTATTAACCAATGTCTTTGCTTCGGACCTTCGATGATCCAGTTCAACCGTACTAATAAGCACAAATCTGTCTTTTTTTTATTGCTGGAGCGTGTTGAAATGTCTTCTTCTGCGTTCTACTGTACATTTCCTTCAGCCTGAGGCTTATTCATGTCACTTCAGGTGTGAAAAGGCTTTTATATTTGCCAAAAATATAACTTTTTTATGTTAAAAACAAACAAGCAAGCCCTGTCCAGATTTTAAAAGTAACGCAAAAGTAACGTAACGCATTACTTTCTATAAAAAGTAACTAAGTAACGTATTTAGTTATTTTTTTTTATGGAGTAACGCAATATTGTAATGCATTACTTTGAAAAGTAACTTTGCCCAACACTAGTCCTCATAAAGGATTAGTCCAATATATAAATAATTTAACAAGAGGGTCGACAGAAAAACAAATACCGAATTAAACAATGACTATAACATCTAGTTAATATACAGTAACGTTATTCATTTTAAAGAGCACCAGAGCAACCTGTAAACAGTCTATCGATTTCATACGACATGAGGGCCTTTACATTCGTGCAAAGTACAGGTAATGGGATAATAAATCATATTTCCAGTGAACGACAGAATGTTCTACTAAACCTGCTAACGTTACTCAGCTTTGTTTGTTCTTTGCGCTTGCTTGTACAAACTGCCCCACTCTCACGCTGTTCGTATTGGTAAGTTACAGGTTAAATATATAAAGTTATTATGTTCTACCTGGATGCAGTGCTATTTTCTCCAGTAATGTGAGCTAAGACAAGACAGCTCAAGCCATCTCAGCTTCTCACGCTCGACCTGCTGTTGTCATGGTACTGACACCGACGCTGAAGCCAGCACTGTGTAACGTGACAGCGTGTTGTCAAAATAAAAGTCCCTGATCCTCCTCACTCCCCAGATTCTTCTTCGGCTGGGGGAAGAGCAAGTCATATTCTGTCAACCGAAGAACAGTTTGTGAATTCACACCGGTTATTTAGTAGCATGAAAAACTAAAAGTGGGTAAAAATATATAAAGAAAGCTAGCAAAGAGTTATGAGTTATTGATAGGAGTTATGTACTTTCGCAAAAACTCCCGTTATAATCAGGGAAACTGTTTACACTGTAAAATAAATCTCTTACTTAAATCATTTCTGCACTTTGTTGTTTATGATGATAAGAGAATTAGCTAATCCAGAAGAATTTAGTCAGATGGCGACCGCACTGAACATCTCTGTTGTTCTCCGCGCGATGAATCAAGACGCCTCTGATTTATGGAAGGCCGTTAGGGCCAAAACGTGTGGTACTACCGGCCTTCCATACTGATTGGACTTTGCATTGATAAACTCAACAGAAAGGTGTGTGATTCGTTAATGCTCGACAGCGCGTAAAAAGAATTGTGACGCAACATGAGCAAATCTACTGTAATGTAATGTCCAGGCAAGGATTTAAAATATCACAGACAGGAGATGGAATAATTACTCAATTTACTGAAAGGATATAACTCAATTTCTTTAAAGACATTTTGGAAATCAAGATTTCAGTGCATTGTGTGGAAATATGCATGGATGTTGCCTAAAAATATATTGTATATCTAATAAGGTGAGAATAGTACATTTTAAAATACTTTGTGTACTTTTTTAAGGCTTTGTACTGATATAGACACCAAATGTGACTTTTGTGGATTGGAAATGTTAAGTGTTGTCCCATTATCAATATTATTATTTTAACGGCGTTTATAGCAGAATGTTTTGGATTGACTTTTTTTTTTTACGTTGATAGACAAAGATTATCACAAAATATGGCTTTAATTGTTAATCTTTGTTTGATTATGGGAAATTCCATATGCATAAACAGAAATGGGACAAGGGAAAGCCTAATTTTTTCATTATTTAAGGAAATGAAACATTTTATTGACTTCTACTTCTGGATTTGTGAAATAGTCAAGCAAAACACACTAGGACTTTATGTTATTTGTATGACAATCTCATGTTTTTTCCCCTATTTGTTGTGTATCTGTTCAAGAAATTACTACATTATCATACTTTGAAATGTAAGTGATTTCACATCTCAACATCTCAGTTTAATCATGACACATTTCAATTTCACATGCCTTTATCTTTCATTTAGGGGGCACGTTCAGTTTAGTGCCATGTTTGCCCCAAGCTGGTGTTGATTGCGACCCTCATTCTGGATCGAATACAGTGTACTGGGGAAACTGTAGCAAAAAATAAATAAATCATTGATACGGAACATATTATTATCAACCTCTTCTGTGGTCTTATACCAGCAACATTAGGCCAATCTGCTGCTGTGCAAAATCAGGTGGTTGGTCTTCACCTGGCATCTATGAGGAGACCTGTTCTCTGTGGCAGTGGTTCCCAACAATCTTCCTGGAGCCTCCCAAACACTGCACAAAATGTGCAGCTTGGGGATATTCCAGGAACGTCTGCTCTATGGGTGTCCACTGACCCTACCAGAATTTGTGACAAATATTGTTATATTTAGCAATTTTGTATATGCATATTGCAGGTAAAACGTCCCCATGATGGTCCATCCCTAAACCTAACCCTTAGAGAGGCACGAGTAGATCATTCAAAAACAGAAAAACAGGACACAAAATCATAAGATTTTGCAACCAATTCATCAAATGGTAAAAGACAAGGCATATTTAGGGTAACTGTGTCTTGGCCAGCCTTTAAATTTTTTATTTTTTTTCCCCTTTCTGTATAATAATGCAGATCTGAATGACATAATCACGGAGAATGTAATAACTGGTTTAATACAAGTTCAGTCAACAGCATCTGGCCTGTTGTTAGTTACGACAAAAAATACTCCACAGTCATCTCTCAATTTCGAATAGATCTCAATCTCTCAAATGAATTACACAACAAAACGTGTTTAGAGTAATGAATAAAACATTTTCAAAGAGCTAGGCCCCATCACATTTACCACCGTTTTGCTCATTTTCAGCCGGTCCAGTCCAGCCACTTCAATAGGAAGCAACATGAGCGATTTTTACATGGAGGTAACTTCAGCATTTTTTGTCAATGACCAATACTACTTTATAAAAAAAGATAAAGCATTGATGACATTTGTAAAGTAGATAATAATCACTCAGACCCACTGACAGTTTGTTTTCGACTTTTATCTTGCATTACAGATGCTATTTACAACATTAATATTGTGTACAGTGCAATAAAACAATACATTTTTGGTTAAACCAGCAGTATACACCTCAATAGATAACCACATACACATATTTTGAGACACTGAGTATTTTAAAATGTTTTACGTGAGGGGTTGTGACCCTTATGTCAAAAAATGCGACAAAATCATTTGTACTTGCCGGGTGCCACTGAATTCTAAACGGTGTAAAACATTTTGGCTGAACTTCATAGGCAATGTGAAAAGCAGTCAGAATAAAGATCATGCAATTAATTTGGTTTATGTAACACTGAACACGAGGGGAAAGGTGCAATAAACAAGCCATGTTGACTTGTGATTTTTAGCTTCATAAAAATACTGAACAAGCAAAGGTACAATATTAAATTTTAATGATTTAAACAACAATATCTGTTCAAACATTTCCCTTTGCAATAAAAATTAAATCTATTAAAATGATTTTACATTCTTCAACACTGTTAACATGAAGCCATTAAAAGCTCAAGATAAAACTGATATCTATGAAACCACTGCAAAAAGACTGATATCAGCTATGAAAGCACGTAACGCAGAGAAACACAATCTATGTTTGTAAGTGCTGAACATCAGCTAGGAGGTCAGTCGATGTCACTGTCACTGCCAGATTCACTTAGCTGAAGATCATTTCCTGAAGGAAAACAGACAACAACAAAACAATTTACCATATAAAACAGAGTAGGGTGTTCCTTTAAATACAGGCACTTTAATGTCCCAGCCAGTCGGTTATTTTTTTTTTTTTAAACTAACATATAACGAAAAAAGTTGAAATAAGACTTTATTAACAGTACCTCTCCAGTATTAAGCCCCGTTCACACCAAAAACGATAACTTTAAAGATAACTATAAAGATAACGATATTAGCATCCACACCAGCGAACGATATCGTCTGCTGCTTTAAATTCTCGAGCTTGTTATAGCAGGATTGATTCTGATTGGCTGTCAATGTTTTTATCGTTCATCAGCTGAAAAAAAAATCGTTCTGAAAGTGATTCCAACAATATCGTTTCTCTGTGCCGTTATTGTTATAGCTGTGGACTGCTATTCTTTAATATTGAGAATGATTTTTAGAACTATATCTTTGTTATCTTTATCGTTATCGTGCTTGGTGTGAACGGGCCTTTAGGGGCACCATTGTCAACTAAAAATGAAAAACTTTTGATTTGTTTTGGCCGTTCATTTACATGAAAACAGCATTATGAAATGCAAACTTTTGAAAAGGGTTTCAAAGTAGGCCTGGACGATAAAACGGTATCGATATTTATCGACGGTACACCTTCATCGATAATGATATAAAAATAGTTAGATATAGCTCATGATATAGGCACGTGCTATGAGTGAAAACATGAACACATGCTGAATTGAGTGCTGTGCCTGCCTGTGATGAGGAGATTGTGAATAAAAAAAATGATTATTAGTCGAATTTAAAATAAACATTTGCATTTCGATCGAAATCGAATGTTAGGAGTGCGTCAGGGAGAGTCATCAGTGAGATGCGGTGATGATGTAAGTGACGTTGCATTTTAATGTTTTGTTAGTCTAGCCCACGAGACACGCCGCTGCTGTGTTATTCGTTCAAAATATTAGAGAAATATAGTAGCTCAATGCGTAGAAGATCTTGATTAGGTTAAAACCGAAACCAAGCCATTCACACAGAACGCATATTCAGCACATTTTTACACGGACAAATATGACTGCTGCACTCATGCAAGAGATGCAAAGAAAGTCATGCAAAGTTAAAACAGTTTTAACGTTTAGAAAACGCGACGCGAATTTGGGAAGGTTTATTTCATTTCACTGTGTCTCGTATGTTTTTAAATGCAATCTGTGTGATCGGCGATTTGGCTCTTTGTATTAGGCTAAGCAATGCATAAACACATGATGCTGTTTTGGTCATAATTGTTTATGCAGTTTACAAAATTATATTTGATTTATATATGTTAATTTAGACGTTATGCACGTTTTTATAGACAGTTATTTGAATTGACAATTTATGCATTATTTTGCTCATTGCGCCCCCGGGAAACAAGTCAGAAGTTTCCTTAAGACTTATTTACTCTGCATATAAAACATAAGAAAGGAGATATTTGTTTAAATTTAATTTTGTGTTTGACTGTAAAAAAAAAATATATATATATATATATATATATATATATATATATATATATATATATATTTGTTGTTTGTCTTAATAAAGTGGGCAAATTAAAAATACAGTGGTTAAATTAAAAAAAAAAATTATATTGCTCGGTTTTAAAAAAGGTTATAAAAAATGTCAATAATTATCGATACCGAACGATATGAAACATATATCGTTGATATATGTTTTAGCTATATCGCCCAGCCCTATTTCAAAGTGCAAGTTTTAGAAAACGATAAGGTTACCATCTCTGTGTAAACCACAAAAACATGAATTTGTGAAAACGGTGACGTCATGTGCATGCGTATTACATGTTCAGTCTATATGTGCATAGTGTTTTTTTACATTGCAAACTACTGGCCCGGAATGCATAATACAGTGTTTTTAGTCGTTTTCGTAGATCTGTGTGAATGGGGATCATTTTGACAATGTTGTTGTCTGTATGTGAAAAACTTTTTTTTTTTTTTTCATTTTTAGTACATCGTTGTTATGTAAATGTACCCTAAAATTTAAAAAAGTTGACCACCAAATTTGTCAGTGTTCTATGTAATATCAGATGTCTGTCTTTGTGTTATTCTACTGTGTATGTTATTACATGCTGTATCATGCTTTAGCGTACTGTATATAACGTACTGTATCATGCTTTAGTTTTTTTTTTGCTGATGAGAAATACTTGTCTATAGCAGTGAATAAAATGACTGAATGCTCTTACGGAGTGTGCTCATCAGCTGATTGCTGCCTTGTGATTTGTTCATTCCGTTGGCCATGTTGTTCCTGCTGGGGGAGAGATGAGTTTCCTGTTCTCCGTCACTGCAGGAGCTGTCATCAGCACTGCCAGAGCAACTGCCAGAGTCTGACGAACTGCTGCTGCTCATCTGCTCAATCACATCCACCTCGGCCCGCAGCTCTGAGACGAGAGCAAACCAAAAAGATTTACCCCAAAAAAACCGTAATATAATGCTATTTATTTTACAACTAAACCAAACACAGCACAATTGTATTCCTGCTAGGGCACAGGCACACAAATATTTAACCCTGCAAATCAATTTTTGAATTTAAAACATATGTAAAACAATGAAGAGTAAACACAATGAAGTAACACATTTAAAGAAAAGAAAATATATATAGGGTCACAAATCCCTAAAACATATTTATAAGAATTTAAAAGATGGTATCACACTGTTTTTTTGTTTTTTCATTTAAGGAAAAAGTGCCAAACATTGATTATATTAATATTAAATAATATTTTTGTTGGTTAAAAAGCAAAGCTGAAAATGTTACAAAATCTTAAATATCAGTGTAAAGTCACATGAGACTGTAAATGGCAGATACCCAAAACTTGGTGAGATTGTCCCACAATGCACATACAATTCATGCATGAATACACACACGGGCCACAGCTGGACGGTAAAGTTCAAAAAAATAATTTCATATTTTTGATAACAACTCAAAAATGTAATGGGGTAGTAGAATCAAATTTTTTGAATCAAGATAAACTATGTATCCAACTTTAATTCATACTAATACATTACTTATTATTAGTTTATAGTAACTAATAATTACAAAACTTAATGCATTTTGAATTATCTAAATAACCTAACATTTCAAAACTTTGTATACATGGCCAAATGATTATTTTTTTAGTAACAAAGTTCTTCAATATTGAGTTTTACAGAATCCAAATATTTGCATTCTTAAATTGCTTTTTGATAGAAAATGTTCATATTCAATGTTTTATCTATTTCTTCAGTTTCCTGTTAAAATGAGCTTTTGTTGTTGTTGCCGTTGTTGTAAGTTTCTTCTTATCATAAAACAAATATGTTTTTCTTCACTGTATGAGGCACAACTATTCTTCTCCTATAATGTGTAAAAGGTTAGTGATGGCTATGACAAAAATTAATTCATGAACCATTCAGTATCCCATCTTGGTCTGGGGGGGTCCCCCTCTGTAGAAATCGCGGTCCAGGGCACACAGTTCAGACCGAAAGGGCACTTTAGCGTCGGCTATTAAAGGGGCAGGGGCTCAAGCAAGCCCCCCTCTTTTCACTCATGAATGCCTGCAGGATTTTATCTGGTGGTATGCACAGAGGCTTTTTTCATCACAAACAACACTACAAAATTCAAAAATCAATATATCATCATGTTGATAATTAAACTCTGTAGCCAATTATGCAGTTAAGAATTGATTCTTCAGCCCAAACAATCAGAGCAACAGTACAGCAGAACAAATGTAGCCTACTGTTTCAACACTCTCAAAGACATCCAGCACATAGGGGGAAAAACAGGGCTATTTGGTCTCTGGTGTTTTACTGACTTCAGATGATTCAGAGTGAGCGGTCTGAACAAATGCAACTCAGTTCCGACCTTTTTGCAAACATTCAGCAAAAAGAAAAAAACAGACTCAAAAGAATGATAAATTCACAAATGATTGGAATTGCTGGTTCAGTTGACAGAAATACAGGACATACAGTATCTCACAGAAGTGAGTACACCGCTCACATTTTTGTAAATATTTTATTATATCTTTTCATGTGACAACACTGACGAAGTGACACTTTGCTACAATGTAAAGTAGTGAGTGTACAGCTTGTATAACAGTGTAAATTTGCTGTCCCCTCAAAATAACTCAACACACAGTCATTAATGTCTAAACCGCTGGCCACAAAAGTGAGTACACCCCTAAGTGAAAATGTCCAAATTGGGCCCAATTAGCCATTTTCTCTCCCCGGTGTCATGTGACTCATTAGTGTTACAAGGTCTCAGGTGTGAATGGGGAGCAGGTGTGTTAAATTTGGTGTTATCGCTCTCACTCTCTCATACTGGTCACTGGACGTTCAACATAGCACCTCATGGCAAAGAACTCTCTGAGGATCTGAAAAAAGGAATTGTTGCTCTACATAAAGATGGTGTAGGCTATAAGAAGATTACCAAGACCCTGAAACTGAGCTGCAGCACAGTGGCCAGGAACATACATCCGTTTAACAGGACAGGTTCCACTCAGAACAGGCCTCGCCATGATCGACCAAAGAAGTTGAGTGCACGTGCTCAGCATCATATCCAGAGGTTGTGTTTGGGAAATAGACCTGTCAGTGCTTAGACCATACGCCGCACACTGCATCAAATTGGTCCCAGAAGGAAGCCTCTACTAAAGATGATGCACAAGAAAGCCTGCAAACAGTTTGCTGAAGACAAGCATACTAAAGACATGGATTACTGGAACCATGTTCTGTGGTCTGATGAGACCAAGATAAATTTATTTGGTTCAGATGGTGTCAGGAGCGTGTGGCAACCAGGTGAGGAGTACAAAGATAAGTGTGTCTTGCCTACAGTCAAGCATGTTGGTGGGAGTGTCATGGTCTGGGGCTGCATGAGTGCTGCCGGCACTGGGGAGCTACAGGTCATTGAGGGAACCATGAATGCCAACATGTACTGTGACATACTGAAGCAGAGCATGATCCCCTCCCTTCGGAGACTGGGCTGCAGGGCAGTATTCCAACATGATAACGACCCCAAACACACCTCCAAGACGACCACTGCCTTGCTAAAGAAGCTGAGGGTAAAGGTGACGGATTGGCCAAGCATGTCTTCAGACCTAAACCCTATTGATCACCTGTGGGGCATCCTCAAACAGAAGATGGAGGAGCGCAAGGTCTCTAACATCCACCAGCTCCGTGATGTCGTCATGGAGGAGTGGAAGAGGACTCCAGTGGCAACCTGTGAAGCTCTGGTGAACTCCATGCCCGAGAGGGTTAAGGCAGTGCTGGAAAATAATGGTGGCCACACAAAATATTGACACTTTGGGCCCAATTTGGACATTTTCACTTAGGGGTGTACTCACTTTTGTGGCCAGCGGTTTAGACATTAATGGCTGTGTGTTGAGTTATTTTGAGGGGACAGCAAATTTACACTGTTATACAAGCTGTACACTCACTACTTTACATTGTAGCAAAGTGTCATTTCTTCAGTGTTGTCACATGAAAAGATATAATAAAATATTTACAAAAATGTGAGGGGTGTACTCACTTCTGTGAGATACTGTACATAACTGTTTAAATATTCCCACAGAAAACATTTCTCAAGTCATCAGAGCACTCGTGGTATGCACAGATTGTTATGCTCATAATATGTGTTCATGTATTAAACTAGAAAAATTTAATGTATGAAAAACTGAATGTATAACTGCCTATAAGTGTATAATCGCAAGCATGCGGTCTAACCTCGTTTGATGTCATCCAGCTGAGGCTCAGGTGAAGGGTTGTCTTTGGTTGGTGAGGTCTTAGCCCCCGCTCCAGGCTTGATAGGGGTGCGGAACTGTGCCGTCAGCTGGTTAGCTCTCACTGACTGCTGCTCTATTCGAGCCTGGATCTTACTGCTGCCCTCAGCTCTGACCAACACAAACGCACATCTTCAACATCACACACTGACGACTGACAGTGAAAGTGAAAATACAGCACAATGTGACAATTTTAACCAGTCAGAGCAGGTGTGGAGGAGTTCTGTCTGTTTGCACACATGCTCACATTCACATTAAACTGTATAGCTCAGTGGTCCTCAAACTATGGTCTGCGTAATACTAGTAGAGGCATGTGACGTTAATGGTAATATTCCATGTCTCATGTAGAAAAACTTTTATGTACATACTTTTGAATGAGTAGGTAATATTGCATGCACTTTTTGAAAATGACCTTTCATGCAGAGTGAAAGTGAAAATACAGCACAATGTGACAATTTTAACCAGTCAGAGCAGGTGTGGAGGAGTTCTGTCTGCTCACACATGCTCACATTCACATTAAACTGTATAGCTCAGTGGTCCTCAAACTATGGTCTGCGTAATACTAGTAGAGGCATGTGACGTTAATGGTAATATTCCATGTCTCATGTAGAAAAACTTTTATGTACATACTTTTGAATGAGTAGGTAATATTGCATGCACTTTTTGAAAATGACCTTTCATGCAGTGTGTAACACAGCTCTAAGTGAATGAAAACATCCTGCAAAGTTTTAAATCTGAAAGTGCACCGTGTATAAAGTTATTGTCTCTCAAAAGAAAGAGTTGACTCTGAATCATTGAAACGAGTCGTTTTTAAACAAATCCCAAGCCGTTTCATGTTGATGTCAACATGAAATATTAGCATATTGCCCGCCCACTTGTTGGTCTTTTCGTGTCGGTCTGAATGAAAATGCAAATTCATTCTTTGCCACTAGGTGCCACTTTTGGAGCGGTAAAAATAGCAGTTTCCCCAGTAACACTGTACACAAAGCAGCACTGCGCTCACAAACGCTGCTTTATCAGGCATTACAGGCATGATGAAATTAAAATGAGACCAATCGGACCAATCACCGCAGATTAGCGTCACGCAAAGGAGGGGTTTGGAAAAATGAATCATTGAGCGAATCGTTTGGGAGTCGTTGAGCAATTAAGGTAAAAATAAATTCATATTATAAGACGATGAAAGTGTTTTTTGACCTTGCATGCATGTCAACCTGTTGTTGGGGACTCCCAAAACCAAAATATGAACCTTTCATTACCCATAATAGGGGCACTTTTAAAAAAAAAAATTCTTGGTGACTAGTTGACAGTTCACCTGAAATCTCTTCACAAACAAAAGTTCACAGTTCATTTGGCTGCTCACCTTGTTTTCTTGACTTGTATGCTGCTGCTGAGCTTGTCCAACATAAACTCTCCAGTGTCATGGTTGATGATGAGAACGCAGTCTTTCTGATACGGCCTTTTGTTGCCCTTAAACACCGTCATTGGTGGAGTGGAGCCCTTGAGAGAAATTACAGTAAGTGGTCCGTAGAAAGGGTTTCATACATGGATCAGCCACAGATCTAGCGGACAATGACTCTTACTGGTATGTGTGGTAATGTGATGGTAACCTCATCTCCTTTTCCTACTTGTAATTCTCCTTCACAGGATGTATCTATGGATGCTGGTTTAAAATCATCTGTGGAAGAAAGTGAACACACAGTATGGCAATTTATGTTTACTTATAATCAGTGTTGGGGGTAACGCATTACAAGTAACGCGAGTTACGTAATCAGATTACTTTTTTCAAGTAGCTAGTAAAGTAACGCATTACTTTTTAATTTACAAGAGAATATCTGAGTTACTTTTTCAAATAAGTAACGCAAGTTACTTTTTTTTTTTCCAATTTATTGATTGACAGCTCTGGTGTCCCCATGTTGAGAGAAATCAGAAGATGCTACTGTAGTTCTAAAATAAATATGAATATGCATTATCTCACTCACACAAAAGAACACAGATTCAGTATTCCTCAAAATGAATACAAATAATGCAACTCAGAATATGACGCAAACCTGCAATAATTAAATGTTAAACAACACAAATATCCTTTATGTATTTAATCCCATTCTATTAACCAATGTTTTTGCTTCTGACCTTCCAGGATCCAGTTCAACCGTACTAATAAGCACAAATCTGTCTTTTTTTTATTGCTCAAGCGTGTTGAAATGTCTTCTTCTGCGTTCTACTTTACATTTCCTTCAGCCTGAGGCTTATTCATTTCACTTTTGGTGTGAAAAGGCTTTTATATTTGCCAAAAATATAACTTTTTTATTTTAAAAACAAAGCAAGCAAGCCCTGTCCAGATTTTAAAAGTAACGCAAAAGTAACGTAACGCATTACTTTCCATAAAAAGTAACTAAGTACCGTAATTACTTACTTTTTCATGGAGTAACGCAATATTGTAATGCATTACTTTTAAAAGTAACTTTCCCCAACACTGCTTATAATAATAAAACCCATGCATATATTTGTTTTTACTGCTGGCTAAACAACAAATTCTGTTCCAACTGTAAGTTATAAACAGTGTTTACACCCATTTGATTGTATTTATTTATGCATTCATTGGTTCAAGCGTCTAAAGGCGCAGTAAGTACCGAGGTCATAATGTTCATATTGTCAATGATTTTACATCATCCGTACATTTATAACACCAAATCTACGCTCTGGTCTGCAGGAGGAATATCATTTTCAGATTCCAAATACTGGTAAGATTCTTGAGATTCGAGGTGCGTTTGTGTGCCATTCAGTTTATTCAATTATGCCATACTTGATGGACTCACATCTGATGGTGTGAAAAGATGATTTTGGCCTCTTCTCAAAACTATCTCCGAGCTTTAACACATGCTCTTGTTTATCCAGAGGCGGGTTCGAGCTGCCGTTCATCACTGCGTGTCACATCGAATTCACCAGCCTCACACTAAATAGCGAAGTCTTCGCTGAATATCACATGTAAACAAAGACAAAGAAGTTGTTGCTAAAACACTCTTGACAGATCCAAAACATCCGGGTCACGAAAACAAAAACAACGCCTTTACCAAAGATGTTACGTTTCAATGGCTTTAAAAATCAAACATTTCGTATTTAAAACATAATGCAGAAAATGTACAAAAAAAAATTATCAGCTGAGCTTTTCATATTTCAAAGTGAGCGAAAGGTCAAAATGACGATAAAATCAATAAATAATCATGATTGAAATAAAGATATTATGAGGAAAAATCATATTTTTTTTCACCCAGTAAGATCGCGTGTTAGCACAACTGCAAGTAAATAATTTGCACGTTTGGTTTCTTCACAATAGTAGGGGGATAAAAAAAAAAGAATGAAATTCAGAAGGGAAAAAAACGCTTCTGTCGTTTGACTTCCGGTTCAGTGATGTCAGGGGGGCAAAAGTGATTAATAAATACGTGAGCAACAATTGTTTTTAACAATCACTGGTGATATTTAAATAGTATTCCATATTAAAATGCTTCAGCTTTAATCAAATGTAAAAATGTTTATCACATGCCCTGTAAGTTGATCGCGTGACACGCGTCCGATTACCGTAAACACACCAAGCATCACGTGCTTTGACGTTTCCACACACGTACACTTACACCTTCTTTAAATGAAAAATAAATAAATCACATACTGTATTAATTCCTTAAAGTAAAAAAAAAACATATCTGGTTAAGAAAAGCTAAAACAGCAGGATCAAAGCGTGTTTGTATTTTTTCCTGGCTGCGTTATCTTGGTTCATTACGGTAAATAGACCTAAAGTCGTTCCTGTCTGAATATTAGTCATGTGTGAGTTTTGTATATGAATGTGGAACACAACCATGACATCTACACAAGCAAGGATCATTCTTTTATTCAGTGGGAAGCGAAAGTCAGGGAAGGACTATGTGACAGATGTAATACAGAAAAGGTGAGGTCTCGAGTTTGATGTAACACTGTTGAGTGAATAGATGAAATGCATGAATACATATATGCTCTTCTAAATGACAGACTGACAGCAGAGATGTGCTGCATACTCAGACTGTCTGCACCTCTCAAACAGCAGTATGCTAAGGTACAGTACACATCTGCTGCCTTGCACTGTTTTAAAGCCTGACATATGAAATACTAGCCAGATTTGTTTAAAGGGAACAGTTACTGAACCATTAGACAAAACATTAAAGGGGTCATATGATGCGATTTCAAGTTTTCCTTTCTCTTTGGAGTGTTACAAGCTGATTGTGCATAGATAAGATCCCTGAAGTTGCGAAGACTAAAGTCTCAAAACCAAAGAGATATTCTTTATCAAAGTTAAGACTCTGCCACGCCCCCCTAAAACGGCTCGTTCTAACACGCCCCCACATATCTACCTCACTATGTGGAAATATTTGCATAATGCAGCCCAAATGTGCACGCAAAGAAAGAAATCTAAAGAAAATGTTTGCATATGGGTTTTATGTTCTGTATCATTTATCAGGCTTTAATAGCCCACATAAATCTGCTGATTATCTGTATGTATATAATACATACATATAATAAAAAAAATAGTTTTCTGAGCCATTTTGTAATTATTTGTAGCAAATTTATATTTTGTAGTCATTTTTTGTGGATGTATGAAGTCATTTCCTGTCAAGCTTACAAAGGTGTATCAGAGTAACCAATGGTATATTTCATCACATTAACAAAAATCATGTTCCACAAAGTCTTTTTTGATTTTGAACAATATATTTATAGTGTATAACGTTTTGAACAATATATATGTATCATTATATACATAACAAACATGTTTTGTTAGGGCATGTGCTAGATTCAATTTTTTTTTAATGCACACCATGTTTCACTATTTTGATATATAATGCCAATACAGTTATTTTAATTGAAAAGTCTCAAAATAATTGCTGGGCCAGTATCCCTAAGCCATTTATTTTAGTAGATTGGTGCATCTCAATCAGCCACAGCTATGATGTTTGATATAGATATGATACAGGCGATGTTTGCTTTAAAAACTGAACCTTCTTCTCATCTAAACTGCTGTAAATAACCTGTAACCTCTTCATGTTTCCCTCTTATTTTTCGATAGCTGAGGGGTGAGGAGAATAACGTGACCTTGTTTTACACTAGATTTTATTTTAACACAATTTTCACTAATGTTAGTTATCATTTACAAAAAGCATGCCGTTCAGCAAGCTTATTACAGTTTGACACAGGTTACTCATATAATACAGGTGCATCTCAATAAATTAGAATGTCGTGGAAAAGTTCATTTATTTCAGTAATTCAACTCAAATTGTGAAACTTGTGTATTAAATAAATTCAGTGCACACAGACAGAAGTAGTCTAAGTCTTTGGTTCTTTTAATTGTGATGATTTTGGCTCACATTTCACAAAAACCCACCAATTCACTCTCTCAACAAATTATAATACTTCATAAGACCAATAAAAAAAACATTTTTAGTGAATTGTTGGCCTTCTGGAAAGTATGTTCATTTACTGTACATGTACTCAATACTTGGTTGGGCCTCCTTTTGCATGAATTACTGCCTCAATTCAGCGTGGCATGGAGACAATCAGCCTGTGGCACTGCTCAGGTGGTATGGAAGCCCAGGTTTCTTTGACAGTGGCCTTCAGCTCATCTGCATTTGCACCCTCAGATTCCAGATTTTCAAATAGTTGTATCTCAGCCAAATATTGTCCTATCATAACAAACCACACATCAATGGAAAGCTTATTTAAAGCTATTTATTCAGCTGTCAGATGATGTATAAATCTAATTTTCATAAAATGAACCCTTATGACTGGTCTTGTGGTCCAGGGTCACATATAAATAACACAAAATAATATTAGCCTACTTGTTTCTGGGAAAACATTACTGCACTGCATTGTAGTTAACTAAAATGAAAATCAGAAATGAAAACAATAAAATAAAAACATTTTCATTACTTGAAATAAAAAATAAACCTAAACTTGTTTTCTTTCAGCTAGTTGCAACAATTCTCATTATAAAAATAACTATATAGAAAAATAAATATACTAAGGAAAATGAAAAAACTGCAGAAAAATGATTTAAAATATAAAAATGAAAACTAATTCAAAATATTAATATAAGAGTATCTCAACGATACTAAAACAATACTACTGGTTCTTGCTGATTGCTCGGCCAATTATAAGCAAGAAGGTCTTTGCTTGGTTGGGTGGATGTAGTTTAAAAGAGGAGTTACAGTAAGAAATGCTTGGTCTCAGAATTAAGAAGAATATCAGTACTGCTATGTTAAGCCAACATTATTTATTAGTTTATTGTGGTAACAGTAACTGTTGTTTTTTTTGGAAACACGCTGCAAACTTTTGGGAGTGACAAATGCATTTAAACGTTGAGGTGAATTCTCCGAAATATCATTCTGTTTGTGTTCTGAAATGGAAATTGTTGTTGTTCTCTGTGACAACTTTAACAGAAACTGGTGTATTTCTGAATATCAGGATCATAGTCTTGACTACGAGGAGCTGTTGGGTTCTGGTCAGTATAAGGAGAGCTATCGTGCTGATATGATCTGCTGGGGTGAGATGAAGAGACAGCAGGACTCCGGCTTCTTCTGTAGGCTGGCCATCAAACATGCCACACAGCCCATCTGGGTATGAGCTCTCTCACCCTCAACAACCTGCAAGCTGGAGTTAAGTCTTAAGATGATCTAAGAATGTGTGAATGAGCAGCGCAGCTTTAGTCTACTACACATACTAAAGCAAGCTTGACTCACTTGATCTCCAGAGCTGCTCTCTCACCATTTCATTTGAGAAAAACTATCATAAGATACACAGAGAAACTCAAATGTCTTCACTACAACCCGTAAAAATAAAAGAGTGGTATAACTTGAAGAAATTGTGTCTGACATATATCACATACTATCCCTCGCTCAGATAATCAGCGATTGCAGAAGGATGTCAGACGTGCAATGGTTCCATGAAGAATTTCCTGACAGATGTATCTGTGTCCGGGTGGAGGCTTCTGAGCAGACGAGATCACAGAGGGGGTGGAGATACGCCACAGGTAAAAATGCTTAAAGGGGTCATATGATGCGATTTCAAGTTTTCCTTTCTCTTTGGAGTGTTACAAGCTGTTCGTGAATAGATGAGATCCCTAAAGTTGCAAAGACTAAAGTCTCAACCCCAAAGAGATATTCTTTATAAAAGTTAAGACTCGTCCACGCCCTCCTAAAACGCCTCGTTTAAACACGCCCCCACATGTCTACATCACTGTGTGGGAAGATTTGCATAACGCCGCGCAAATGTTCACGCAAAGAAAGAAGGCGTAACTTTTTTGTTGCTGCCACCGCCGCCTACATGAGAGGAGACGCTGTGTATTTCGTTGCGAAAGCGAAAATACTTTGTTTGGTCTTCCTAAAGAGGACATGACTAGAAATGTGGTTAAGTTGTATTTACAACACTGTTCCAGAACAGCTCAACCCAAATATTCAGATGTGTGCAGTGCATTTTATGGAGGACTGTTTCCTGATCCTGTGAGAGTAGACTACAATGCCGGCTGTTCTGACTCACAGACTGTAAGTACATTTTCATATTTAAAGGATTTGCCACTGATGATTCAAACGTGAGTTTTGAGTAGTGTAGAGTAGCGCTTGTTGTTTGTCATTTCTCCGTTCACAAATGCAGACATGGTTTTATGTTTACGCGGCGTGATGCAACGCAATGCGTAAAAAGACAGTATAAGTCATTATAATCCATAATTACAGTATGTCCCCACTGGATGCAACAGATGCCTCGTTTATAATGGGTTTTAATGTTTTTGTCTCATTGCGCCGGGACACGGCATCACAGTATGGTAGGAGCGTAACATTTCCGTCACACGCTTGAGGTATTCGGCCAATCACAACACACTGGATAGCTGGCCAATCACAGCACACCTCGCTTTTCAGAATGATGAGCTTTGTAAAAATCTACGCGTTTCAGAAAGGCGGGGCATAGAGGAGAAACAGTAATGTACAGTATGTGGAAAATAATGTGTTTTTTTAACCTTAAAACGCATAAACACATTTCATTACACCAAATACACAAAATAATGTTCTTTTTAGCAACATCATATGACCCCTTTAAGAAAAACACATCATAACAGTGTTGTGGGGATTGTGGTAATGGCGTGATCATGTCCTTATGTACCTGTCCAGGTATAGACGACGCCGAGTCCGAGTGTGGTTTGGATGAGGGTGTGAAGTTTGACTTTATCATTAGGAACGATGGAGCTGATGACGTTCTGGAGAAACAGCTGGAGGATCTACTGTCTTTGATCAAGTCACGGGAGGAGGAATCAAACACACTACATAACATTAAACCGGAAAAATAAAAGC